TTTTGAATAGCGCGTCGCTTAAATCATTGGAATCAACGTTCGATCGGCGAAAAAATTCGATTTTGCCGAAAGTGGACTTTCCCCCGAAAAAATCCCAGGTCTGACACTTTGGCCCCGAGTGAAGAATTGTATATTATGTCATCAGGCGATAAAAGTATTATCGCCTTCGGCTCGAATTATAATGCCACATTCGCCAGATCATGCTTTTATATCGTTGGGCCCGAGAAAACCGCGATTCTAACCTCGCTTCGTTCGGTTAGATCGCGGTTTTCAGGCCCTACGACATAAAATACTGTATGCCACACGACATTAAAAGCATTATCTAGCAAATGTGATTATAATCCGAGCCGAAGGCGAGACACATTCGCCAGATAATACTTTTATCGCCTGGTGGCATAATATACTATTATCGCCGTGTGGCATACGATATTTTATGTCGTTAGAATCGCGGTTTTTTCGGGCCTAACGACATAAATAGTACATTAGATGCCCGAGCCTTGGAAAACAGATCACCGTCCCCCACGTGCAAGATTGCCTTCCGAGCCGAAAGCGAGGACGTGGGGGGAGGGTGATATGTTTTCCATGGCGAGGTATGTATATTAAGTTTCGTGTCGAGGGACCTGCAAAACGGCAATTGCGTGGCGCGCAGCGCCACGAAAATGAGGTTTTTTAGGTCCCGTGACATGAAAATTAATATACACAATATGGCTGCGCCTTGCCTTCGGCTCGGAAGGCAATCTTGCACGTGGGGGACGGTGATCTGTTTTTCAAGGCTTGGGCATGTAATGTACTATTTCTGACGAATGTGATTATAACGTCACATTCGTCAGAAAATACTTTTACTCCCTAAGGGCACAATATACTATTTTCATTTCTACATTTCTGAGCCCTCTGAGGGTTTTATTAGCATTAGAGGGGCCAATAAATACGGAATCAACATTCACTTGACGAAAAAATTCTATTTTGGCGGAAGTCCACTTTCCCCCGGGAAAAATCCAAGATCTGACACTTTGGCCTCGGGTAAAAATTCAAATTTTTTATTTCGACAGATCTGGCACCGCCAGATAATTTTCAGTACCCAAACTTGCGGCTGGTGGTGAACGAGCGTGTTGTTATGCGCAGGCATATGCGCAGATGACCATAACAAGAAACTCCCAAGGGAGTTCGGGCTAGATTGTAGCCCCGGCAGCTGACTACGGGCGCGTTTCGCAATCGACTTAGTAGCAGACTGCTAGTAGCAGTAGCAGTAGCAGTACTAGCAGTAGCAGTACTGTAACCCTATCTAATTTCGCTTTACTGCAGCTACNTCCAAAAATTATGATTTCACAATCAAAAAAAAGTTGAACATTTTCAAAGAGCGTTTTTTTAATAATATTGGGAAATAAACTCAATAGGGAGGAAATTGCAAATTAATAATNGCCGTGTGGCATACGATATTTTATGTCGTTAGAATCGCGGTTTTTTCGGGCCTAACGACATAAATAGTACATTAGATGCCCGAGCCTTGGAAAACAGATCACCGTCCCCCACGTGCAAGATTGCCTTCCGAGCCGAAAGCGAGGACGTGGGGGGAGGGTGATATGTTTTCCATGGCGAGGTATGTATATTAAGTTTCGTGTCGAGGGACCTGCAAAACGGCAATTGCGTGGCGCGCAGCGCCACGAAAATGAGGTTTTTTAGGTCCCGTGACATGAAAATTAATATACACAATATGGCTGCGCCTTGCCTTCGGCTCGGAAGGCAATCTTGCACGTGGGGGACGGTGATCTGTTTTTCAAGGCTTGGGCATGTAATGTACTATTTCTGACGAATGTGATTATAACGTCACATTCGTCAGAAAATACTTTTACTCCCTAAGGGCACAATATACTATTTTCATTTCTACATTTCTGAGCCCTCTGAGGGTTTTATTAGCATTAGAGGGGCCAATAAATACGGAATCAACATTCACTTGACGAAAAAATTCTATTTTGGCGGAAGTCCACTTTCCCCCGGGAAAAATCCAAGATCTGACACTTTGGCCTCGGGTAAAAATTCAAATTTTTTATTTCGACAGATCTGGCACCGCCAGATAATTTTCAGTACCCAAACTTGCGGCTGGTGGTGAACGAGCGTGTTGTTATGCGCAGGCATATGCGCAGATGACCATAACAAGAAACTCCCAAGGGAGTTCGGGCTAGATTGTAGCCCCGGCAGCTGACTACGGGCGCGTTTCGCAATCGACTTAGTAGCAGACTGCTAGTAGCAGTAGCAGTAGCAGTACTAGCAGTAGCAGTACTGTAACCCTATCTAATTTCGCTTTACTGCAGCTACAGTAGTTGATTCCGAAACGCACCCTTCATAATGTGCGTTCAAACGTGCAGGTGTGACAAAAAATATCATTTTATCTATTCAGAATTATCCTCCTTTAGCCCGAAAAGCACCGATTTCTTGTCTGAAACCTACCATGAATTGATCGAATATGCATGCGATGTTCTTCACTCAAGAATTTTTCTTTTGTCATATTTTGTCCATTTTTCTTTCAGTGTGATAGGGAGAGCGTTTTATATGGGGTGTTTTATGTATGGGTCGAAAATACACAAGAATGAAAGGGGCAGGAGTTATGGTTAGAATTGACGAAATTAACCTGGCGATAAGGCTCACTAACACCCACAGTGCTAACGTACTGTTGCCCGTATAGAGCTGCGGGACACCCCCGAAAGTATGATCACGGAATGTGAAGTAAACAATTTTTGATCAATTTTAGTCATTGCAATCCCTCTAAATATGATTTAATGGGGTGGGGTACGCACCTACACGTATGAAAAAATCGTATAGAAATTTTCTATACAGATTATGTATAGAATTTCTATAGGATTTTCGTATATGAGATTTGGATATTTCTATTGGGAACTCAGATGGGGGCGGGGCGTAGGTCGTGGACCCTACTTGCATAGGTTCACATTTTTGCCACTCGACAGTAGCTTCTTGGGAGAGATAGGACTCGCAATCTACTTACACGGGTTCAACACGCGCGATCGTTCTCGTGTATATGTAGAAACATTTCGTATGGAGTTGCGACATTTCTCTACGTTTTTCTCTGGAGCGTTGAGACATACAAAAATTTATGTAAAAATTTATGTATAGAAATAATTCCTATAGAAATATCCGAATATCATATACGGAAATCCTATAGAATTTTTATACGCAATCCGTACAGAAAATGTCTATATGATTTTACTTCCGAATGGAAGCATTGCAATTGTTCGATTTTCAAATTTTCTAATTTTGCTTGGAAATGATGCAGAATGGTCTGAACCGTAAAAANACACTATTTGCTCTCTATTGGACTTATTTGTTAATTTTTATTAAAAACGCTTTTTGAAAATGTTCAATTCTTTTTCTACTTTTTTTGATTGTACAATCATAATTTTTAGGGACTCTTGCGNATACGAAGTTTGGGGACCATGTCTTTGCGTGACACTGTCGGTGGTCATTTTTTCGTAAATTTGATAATTAAACGGGAAAAATCATTCTAAAAAATTTGAAATTTTTTCAGTTAATTGGTATAACTTGAGACTAACTCCATGCCAAACTTCAGCTTGATCCGTCTTTTAGTGTTTGAGGAATATCCATTCGTTTTTTAACGTTTTCTCGCAAATATCTCGGAAAATATTCAACCAATTTCAATAATTTTTTTCTCAAAGTATTCGGCATGCTCTCCTCTATCTAAATCAATCGAAACATATATACTCGTTCATACAAAGAGATATTTGAGATATTTGGATTTTTCTGTTTTTGACTTGAAATCCTTGTTCGCGCTCTAACTTGAGTAAAAATTGAGATATCGACTTGAAATTTAGCATGAAGCTGTCTCGTATCATCGTTAGGACCTGAATGGAAGATGGGCTCAATCGGTCAATTAGTTTCGGAGATATTCAACTTTGTATGTAAACCTAATGTCTTGAATATCGCAATAACGAGTCAACCGATCTCAAAGATTTTTTTTTCAAAATATTCGGCTTGACGTCCTCTATCTAAATCAATCAAAACATATATATCCCTTTATACAAAGTTTTTGAGATATTTGGATTTTTCTGTTTGACTTGAAATCCTTGTTCGCGCTCTAACTTGAGTAAAAATCGAGATATAAACGCATCCATTCGGAAGCCCGCAATCAATATATTGATGGCGAGAAAAGAATAGACGCCCTACTCAGTAGAATATGTACAGCCGCATGGCTGCAGTCGCCTGCTTGTTTTCATACGTGATAGGGCTGCGAGACACGCCCAGGAAATCGCTTCTAAATCGACCGACCGACCACTTGCGTTTTAATGCGTAATTCGCTTTTTACACAATAAAAAGTGATCACGGAACGTCAAGTAAACAATTTTCAATCAATATTAGGCATTGCAACCCCTCTAAATAGGATTCAATGGGATGGCTACGCACCGTAGTCCATACGCTGAAGCTGATCTTGTATCAATCTGTATCGGAATCGACGAATCTCGTAGAATTTATACTTTTTGGGTCGCTGATTCCGAATTTGTCGGTTATTAAAAACAAACCTGTGTTCTATTATTAACAATTTAATTGTTTAAGGCCCGGCTGGATTATCTTTCGAACGTGATCTTAGTTTTTTTTTTATTTTGATAATCTGAAATGATCTCCAATTGCTATTCAGTTTTACATAGCCTTGGAGTCTCCAAAAATTATGATTTCACAATCAAAAAAAAGTTGAACATTTTCAAAGAGCGTTTTTTTAATAATATTGGGAAATAAACTCAATAGGGAGGAAATTGCAAATTAATAATTTGATGTATCTAATGGCTGTTAGGTCGTCATTTGTCACAGTAGTCAATGGCTGTCAGATCGTTAGTTACCATGATAAATTATCCATACACTATTTGCTCTCTATTGGACTTATTTGTTAATTTTTATTAAAAACGCTTTTTGAAAATGTTCAATTCTTTTTCTACTTTTTTTGATTGTACAATCATAATTTTTAGGGACTCTTGCGTGATGTAAAATCCAATGGAAATTGTGATATATATTATGATATATCGAAAAAAAATGGAGATTATGTTCGATAGATACTCCACCCGGGCCTTTACTGGAAAAAAATCGTAGTTCTTTTGAATACTGAGAAAAATACATGAGAAGCCTCAACAAAATTTGAAATTTTGAGGTATTAAAATGCCTTTGACCATTTTTTCTGGACTTCTTCTTTCGGAAGATATTCCCAATCGAGAATACTGAAAAAAAATAATCCATCTATTTTTATTACAGGAAGATACCTACGAAGTTGATATAGCGAACGATATGCGTGAATTGGAATTGCGCTGGGACTTCGAACTGAAAGAACAAGAGAAACGTTGGTCCAACGAGGAGGACAATGTTAAACAATTATAATATGGAATTTTTACAGGTACGAAAATCATAATAAACTCTCCAAGCATTTTATCCCAAAACATCCATGATATTCTGAAAAAATATAACACGAAAATAAGAGACAGTGTCTGACATTTTGTTTAGTTGAGGAAAACCAAACTCAGGTGATCAGGAGCCAGAAAAACACAAAAAAAATGGAAATTATGGACTGCATTGCTTTTAACCCCAGAATAATATATATAGTACTTAGAATTTCCGTGGTATACAGATCTGCCTCTAATGCGTAAAAGGAAAAATGTGATATTAAACTACTGTTCATTTCCAACTCCTCTGAGACTCAGATCGCTACGCTAAATTTTAAAAGACTCTGTAGGACAAATTTTCATACATGCTACCCTGACTTCTAGATACTCTAGAAAATATCCAGACACTAGAGATTTCAGTTGCAAAATAGAAGCTCTCAGCTTTTAATTAATGATATGAGATTTTTTGTTTCATTCAAAAACAGACTAAAAGAAAATTAGAAAAAAATATTAGAAGCTTCGAAAGCAAACTACGATCTAATCTCAGGGTGAGATGGAAATATCCAATAGTTCATATAACCAGTGCAGACCGTGCGACTGCATGTTAATAGAAGACGATAAAACTGATGAAAACAGTTCTTTTTGAAACATACATAGGTTTGTTAAAATTTAACAGAAGAAGAACAAGCCATTAAAGTCGAAGTGGGGGAGATTGAAGTTTCGTCAGTGTTTTATAAACATGACCACTATTATTTATTTATGTTTCCTTGAATGTCTCGAGTGAAAAAATACAAATAACAATATTTGAGAGAAGTGTTACTTAATTGGAATTTCACAGCTCGTATAAAGGATTGGCATTTAAAATTAATGGTCAATGATAGATTGATATTTGATGCTGATACAAGTGGAAAAATATACTTTTCATTTTATCTCCATGATGATGATTTTATTGATGATGAAACTTGTGATTGCAGAAGCAAGAATTAGTGTGGTACACCTGTAAATTATAGTACTAACATTTAAATCCATAATATTATTTCTAATGAATATATAATGATAATACTTATAACATGAATATTGAGAAATTCCAGTTTTATTGGAAAGTATCTTGTAGGTTTATGGGGAGGGATTAAGAATAATGGAAAGTAATGTTTCCTTCGAGTGTGTTATTATTAATATTTTACTTTGTTATTCTGCAGAAAAAATTGTTTTTATCAAACTGCTCAATATGAAGAATTACATAAAAAAATTTTACGGTGTGAATTCAGTGAATTCAAGAACTGGTGGTTGAAAGCAAACATAATTATTCAACTTAGAGAATGTAAATATGTTTCGAAATGAACAATTATCGTCTTAGGAATGTAATGGTGCAATTAAAGAAAATCGTTCTTTTTTCCTCAAATAATAATGCCCGTTTTTAAAATTACTCCTTAATTATATTTTTCGTTTAATTTATCAGATAATATAAAAAAACCATACCAATTGGGATAATTGTTACGACGCATAATATATAAATCATAAAAGAATGGAGAGTTGATGAGCTTTGGTTATTGTGTACATTTCCGATCAAAATTTAACAGTGAAATTGGAAATTAAGATGAATCAATGTTTTTTGGGTCGTTTCAAATATGGAATTGTTTCAAATACGATTGATTTTTTCAACGAAAGATATCAACTAAAGTTGTTGTCTAGGAATTTTTTCAACTATAATTAAGCTTTCGTCGAATTTCCTTTTAAAAACTGTTAACGAATATATCAAACTTGACTCATTAGGTTTGACCAGTTCATTATAAAATGCGCAATGAACAATTGAATTAACCTATATAAACAGAAAAATAAAAGAAGAGCGGTCAATGAATTTATTGACGAATGAGATGGAAGATGAAAGGGCTGTGTACAATGTGGAAGTAATATGTGCAACGTCAACGTTTGTGCTAGCTTCAGAATTAATTGCATGTTAAACATGTCACTATATAGATGTATCAAAGATAATAGCATACACAAGCAATACCTATTGTCAATGGTATGAACATTTTCACCCTTTAAAACAAAAAAAAATTAAGTTGTTTGTTTTGAACATTTAACACATAACAAAAGTCTAGAATAATTATATACATATCCGTATATAATTCATATAAGCCAGTACACTTGAAGTTTATATTATTTATGTGAATTGTTGAAGGGAAGGCAAAGTAAATTTTTTTCTAATAGTTTTTTTTATTTACTAAAAACACGTTATGATTATATATATTGGTAACAAGTGGGTAAACTGAAAAGTCGAACGAATAATTGTACCAAAATAATAAATATTAAGGATTTTCTCAATTTTATAAAGAAAAAAGAAATAATAATGAAGAAATCACTCAGATAATTGTTATGAAGTAACGAACTATTCTTGAAACGAGTATGCATGCACGAATCGAGTAAATTCACTGTTATGCGCTCTGCAGAAAATTATTCTTTATCAATTGATGTCAAGTCTAAAGAATGTGCCTACTTTTTGTCGATAACTGACATTGCAATTTTTTCATAAGTAAATAGGGCTTAAAAATTACAAAAATGCAATGCATCTAATTGTTTTTATCCGTCGATTTATGTCTGTAATCAAATCAACCATTTTTCCGGTGTATATTTCGAAAAAACAATTTGATAGATTGTAGAGATGGAATGTTTGAGAAACAAAAGACAAATGTAAAATTTCTGTATTTTACAAACAAGTGTACTTGTATATTTATATACTCAATAAAATAATTCTGAATAACGTAATGTTTGTGTAAATTTTATTTTATTAATCCCTTTATAAAAAACAATTCCAATCAACTTCTTTTAACATTGTCTATTATCTAGTTTTCCGCAGTCCTATAAGACTGACAGTGATGGCTGAATTTTTAAGGTACAATTCCTTAAAATCATTTTTCTGTACAATTTTATCTTCATTTGTAGAGATAATTCTCAGTAAAAAATCGTACAAACTCATCAATTTTAACTCGTTACATAAGGCAATAATTGGCACAACATTTTCCACTTTCAAGTTCTTTCTCAATTTATGCTCGCAAAGAATAGACAATTTGTCGATTCCATAGTTATTTATCACAGTAGCAGTGTCATCGAGAGCTGTTGAGTCGCCTGAGTACAGATATTTTAATGCAATCTTCAGCGCTGCAATATCAACTCCATCCTGTATAATACAATATTATTACTCGGTTGTTGTCTTGATCTCATCATTTCTGCAAAAAGTGTACTCTGACTCGCGAGAACAGCTTTGTGTGCAGGTGTTTCACTCAATTCAGGACTCATGAAATAATTAGCCATATTTATAATTGATAGTGGCTCTTCTTCGCCGGAAATTCCGAATCACGTGATTTCACATTCGATTCGAACAAATTGTGCTTTATTACAACTGGTACAGAACTGCCTTGTTGGACAAAGAAGCAGTATTTTCAAATGAGTAGCAGGCAGCAGTTCACTCAGTCACTTTAAACATTTAACGGTAATAATTAGGTCTGTTTATTTTCATTCTCGCTGCGCACGACTCAAGTTCCTCATTTTTCTTCAATTCGTTCTTTCGAATTAAAATGGTCAAGTTGCTAGAGACATTGACCCGTGCCAAAATATTGAATAAGTAGTTTAGAATCCCGGAGACTTAGAAAGCTGGGGAAGTTCTCCAATCGAGACTTTTGGGAGGATCAGAGTAACAAAGGATCCAATTGCATAATCCTATGTTTTATTGTGAAGGGTTCCTGCCCGTAAGTAAATTCCTCCAGAACATTACTGAAACAGGATTCTCCATTGTAAATAGGACACTGTGGTGAAAAATTCTGATTTTGAAGGTTCAACATGTCCTCTTCCCTGGAAAGGTGTATTCTGTTGCACTTACCAAAAAAATAGAACTGATAGTGTTGAGTACGCGCGTGAGTACGCGCGTGACAATAGTATGCAACACTCTAACAGCTGATTGGGTTCTTCTTCTATTCCAAATAGTTTTATCTCCAACTCAGATAGGGGCAAGTGCCAAAGCTGATTGGGTTCATAGTGTTAGGGGAAGGCCAAGCAGGCAAAATCATTCGAAACCAAATAAGAACTTGTACGGCCAATTCACGAACTAGTGGCGCCAGGTAGTCAGCCACTTTTCAATGCATCAGACAAAGATGCAAAGAAAGCATGCATCTGACCACCCTTGTTTAATGCCTTTGGCCAATGGAGTGGGTGTCCCCCTGCTACCATCTATTTTAGTTTTGCAAAAATTCCGTAATACTCAAGTAACGACGTTTGCGAAAAATAATGTTGAAACAGTTTTTAAGGAGACAAAAATAGCTTCATATCTGAAAATCTCAGAAGTTCACTCTCTCATTTTTCCTAAAAAACCTCACGAGAGATAGAATTCAGAACAGTCAACAATAGTCCTGTTGAACAAGATGGATTAGAGTATCGGGTTGATCTTTCTGCTTTATTATTGCGGGTTTTACTTTTCCGATTGAACTTTCGGTTTGATTTTTGACTTTACCCTTCTGTCTGACGCTTCTGCTTTTTTTTTTTTTTTTTATTGATAAGTATCAACCCTTTATTTGGGTTATTTACAATTTCCGATATTAAGAAAAAATTAAAGATTTTACATTGGTTCAATTTTTTGGTTTTTCTTAGATTCTTATCTTATTGCTTTTAACAAAATTATGGATTATTTCCAGAGGTTCTAAATTCTTAGAGGCGAAGAATGCATTTATGGTGAACGCCCTGACGGACCGACTTCAGAGTTGCGTCAGAGTTGCGTAAGACTTGAATATTTCCAACATTTCAGAGAAAGTTCAGAGTTCGGTCAGAGTTGGGGCTATGTCGGAATCTACGTCAGATTGCATGGGTGTTCTCTGAACTCTTACCTGCCGTCAGTGTTAAGAGTTCAGTTTTTTTTATTGTTGATTATTATTTATTTACTTTTGGGGAGGGAAGGGCAGGTTTACATGTGTTCTCTGAACTCTTACCTGCCGTCAGAGTTAAGAGTCTAGTATTCTTATTGTTGATCATTATTTATTTATTTCTGGGGAGGGGCCGGGGGGGTTTACATGTGTTCTCTGAACTCTTACCTGCCGTCAAAGTTAAGAGTTCAGTTTTTTTATTGTTGATCATTATTTATTTATTTCTGGGGAAGGAAGGGGGGTCCATTTGTTCTCTGAACACTTACCTGCCGTCAGAGTTAAGAGTTGAGTTTTTTTATTGTTGATCATTACTTATTAATACCTGGGGTGGGGAGGAGAGGTTTACATGTGTTCTCTGAACTCTTACCTGCCGTCAGAGTAGAGTTCAGTTTTTTCTATTGTTGATTATTATTTATTCCTTTCTGGGGAGGTGGAGAGGGAGTTTGCACATGGTCTCTGAACTCTTACCTGCCGTCAGAGTTAAGAGTCTAGTATTTTTATTGTTGATCATTATTTATTTATTTCTGGGTTGCGAAGGGGGGGGGGTTGCATGTGTTCTCTGAATTCTTACCTGCCATCAGAGTTAAGAGTTCAGTTTTTTTTATTGTTGATTATTATTTATTTATTTCTGGGGAGGGAAGGGGAGGTTTACATGTGTTCTCTGAACTCTTACCTGCCGTCAGAGTTAAGAGTCTAGTATTCTTATTGTTGATCATTATTTATTTATTTCTGGGGAGGGGCCGGGGGGGTTTACATGTGTTCTCTGAACTCTTACCTGCCGTCAAAGTTAAGAGTTCAGTTTTTTTATTGTTGATCATTATTTATTTATTTCTGGGGAAGGAAGGGGGGTCCATTTGTTCTCTGAACACTTACCTGCCGTCAGAGTTAAGAGTTGAGTTTTTTTATTGTTGATCATTACTTATTAATACCTGGGGTGGGGAGGAGAGGTTTACATGTGTTCTCTGAACTCTTACCTGCCGTCAGAGTAGAGTTCAGTTTTTTCTATTGTTGATTATTATTTATTCCTTTCTGGGGAGGTGGAGAGGGAGTTTGCACATGGTCTCTGAACTCTTACCTGCCGTCAGAGTTAAGAGTCTAGTATTTTTATTGTTGATCATTATTTATTTATTTCTGGGGATGGGACCGGGGTGTAGCGTCTCGCTACACACACACCAACGCGTAACACACGCACGGATACGACACGCTGAGAGACGACTGGACATCGGTGACATCATCGCGCTCTGTCACGCGCCCAGTATCAAATACCTCTCGCTCGCACCTATTGTATTCGCATCCGAATTCTTACCTGACGCGGATATAATATTCAGTCTGGGGCTAACCGCCAAATACTCAACGAGTCAACCAACCGACTCATCATCTGTACATACCGCATTCACGGCAATAAACTAAATCTCTAGTTTTGCAAACTGTTGCCTCGCGTAGTTGATTCGTTATCTTCCCGAACAACCACAACCTCGAATCCTAGAGTGGGGGGGGGTTTACATGTGTTCTCTGAATTCTCATCTACCGTCAGAGTTAAGAGTTCAGTTTTTTTCAGTTTTTTTATTGTTGATTATTATTTATTTAATTCTGGGGAGGGGGTGGGAGGTCACATGTGTTCTCTGAACTCTTACCTGCCGTCAGAATTAAGAGTTCAGTATTTTTATTGTTAATCATTCTTATTTATTTCTGAAGAGGTGAGAGGGCTTCATTTGTTCTCTGAACTCTTACCTGCCGTCAGTGTTACTAGATGGTGACGTCACCCCATTTAAAATTGTACAGGTTTTGGCTATAAATCGCCAAAATCTGGCAACCCTGCCTGCCGTCAGAGTTAAGAGTTCAGTACTTTTATTGTTGATCATTATTTATTTATTTCTGGGGAGGGGAGGGGAGGTTTACATATGTTCTCTGAACTCTTACCTGCCGTCAGAGTTAAGAGTTCATGTTTTTTATTGTTGTTTATTATTTATTTATTTCTGGGGAGGGGCAGTGGAGGGGGGTTTACATGTATTCTCTGAACTCTTACCTGCCGTCAGAGTTAAGAGTTCATGTGTTTTATTGTTGTTTATTATTTATTTATTTCTGGGGAGGGGCAGTGGAGGGGGGTTTACATGTATTCTCTGAACTCTTACCTGCCGTCAGAGTTAAGAGTTCATGTGTTTTATTGTTGTTTATTATTTATTTATTTCTGGGGAGGGGCAGTGGAGGGGGGTTTACATGTATTCTCTGAACTCTTACCTGCCGTCAGAGTTAAGAGATCAGTATTGGCGTGTTTGGGGTGGATGTGGGGGGTTTTTGGATACAGATAAGAACTGTCAAGGGGTGACCATACGAGGCTGTTCCACTTGACCTTCTCGAGGGTTAAGAGTGCTCGTTACTACCGCTGTCTTTGTCTTTGTGTTAACGCGGTTGTTGTCATCTCACAGTTTATCCGAAATGAAATAAAATCGACGCTTGTGAGAGAAAAATAAAGTATTTAGAAGTCTTTATTATCACCAGCACAGCACATCTCTGGGTGCTCAGCAATGTGCTGGCACTCGTCACAATAACACAAAAGCAAAATCGTCGCACTCATGATGTTAGTGCACGACCACTGGCACTTGTTTTGATTTCGCAAGGATGTAGCAAAACCAAGGCTCGGCGCTCGGACGCTTGGAATGTTCTAGAATTCACGAGACGTCCGTTTGAAAATGCCGTTGAGTCCAAATACCCGTCCAAAAACTTTACACTGAAGAGTGGTCGAATTCACACGGAAACTCAACCACAATATTGGAACAGTCGAGAAGGGAGAAATTCGATGACTCCAACTATCAACTCTTATTCGTCAAATATGTTGTGAGTTCAAACAGGGAAATA